ATTTGATTCCTATTCAAGACACGTAAGATAAGACTTAGACTTATACTTCCTTTATTGTCATTGTACAAAAAACACAAGGTGAATCTTGACAACGAAATGTCGATTACTTGATAAGATAAGCATAACTATAGTGTTACTATAGGCGGCTACAGATTTGTTTGACATTTCTGGTTGGTGGTGTGCCTCGTGATTATTTCAATGAAAAAAGTTACCTTGGGTCAAAAAAGGTTGAAAAACACTGCTGTAAAGAAACCCCCCCTGAATAGGAGCTGATGAAACTGGGCGCTGAGAGGTCGGCCTGTGCCTCCAAAAGAGCCTCCAAAGGCCACGGAGTGCTCTTTACAGCTTAAGAGAGCACTCAGAACCAGCTCCTGTGGGTTTGTGCCCAGTGGAACAGCAGCAAACACGATACCCAGGCTGGACCCGGCACATGGAAATCACTCCAGATTAAATGTCAGGAAGCAGCCTCTGGGCCCGAGTGGGAAACGGCGTTTATATGAGCGTTTGCCCCCGTCTCAGATCTCATAACCCTGAAATAGACTCGAGAAATCTCACTCCGACCCGACACCAGAACCAGAACCCTCTGAGTGGATCTGGACTTATAGGGCTTAGAGCTCCAGGAAATCACAACCATTGTTGTTTATTTCTCAGATTATCTGTTTACAGGCTCCATTTTCAAAGTGTCAAAAGAAAGATGACTTTTTTCTTTCTTTTGAATTGAAAAAATGTAAAGACTGTATCTTAAATGTTTTTTTTTCCTGATTATGCAAAAACTTTTATGCAAAAAACGGTTCATTAACTGCAGAACTAATTAATCCTACTTTCCATTGAAGTGTAGTTATTTGAGTTGTCTCTGATATGAGAAAATAAACAGATTTGGGGCATTAATTTACAATGAAAGAAGAAATAAGATTAGATAAGATTAACAGAAACATAATCATATTTGTCATTCTGCAGCTTAAAGTTTCACCTCTGCTCTAAACTCCTAAAAGATCCACTGCCTCTCTGAGCTGAACACCGGCTCATCCCTTGAGTTAGAGGCCTTTTTTCTGCCTTCATGATTCAGAACTCAGAGTTAAGTTTTATTTGCTTATTTCTTAGAGTTAAAAATGGGCAGCAAGAAAAGCCAAACAAACATCACAGCTGTGATTAAACTAACAGTTCTGGTTAAAAAAATGCTGCTTTTTCCAACAGTTTTTACTTCTTTTTTCCCCCCAAACTCATCTTCTTTGATATCAAACATATCAATGTGAAACATCAAAACAGAGTTAATGACATGTTACATTTCTGGCACTTTAGCCGCATTCTGCCTCTAAAGCTCCCAGATACACTGATATAACAGAGACTGTCTAACTGGATTTCAGAGGATTAGGGCGACCCACAGACAGTATTGATCACTGGTGCATGATATCTTATTTGTGCTTTGCCTGGTATCTGTGCTTTTACCTCGTGTCTCGGCTTCTGTCAGGGCGGGATTTGGATGTTTATCGTGTGTTCTCACGTTCTGTTTTACTCTGTTTGAGGTAAAAGTCTCTATTGTAAACTTTTTTAAGCAGTTTTTAAGGATTTCTGTTGCTAGAGTTGGCCATTTACTTCTAAAAAAAAAAGAGGACCCAACGTGTTTAATCGGCATTAACTTGCACACTTTTTGGGTTTAAAGGTGTTTTGGTATGTGATTTGGAACAAATCGCTGTCATGCTTTTAGAAATGGACTGTCATCTGTTGTTAGCAGCCGAAATACCGCTGAACTTGAACAGTTTACGATCACAATAAATGAGCTTTATAGTTGTGTGGATAGGTTACCCTCAAAGGAACAGCTGTGTTCAACTACGGCTCTCACAGGAGGAAAAAATGCACATCAGTATTCAGGCTTTACTCTGACCAGGCTTTGTTTTTGGGCTAAAATGACACTCAAAAAACCTTATGATAAAGTGAAAGTAGAGTTATGTTCAGTGCAAAGGTACAGATGTTTGTCTTTTTTAATTTTTTTTCTGACCAGGTTTTAAGAAGAAGGTCAATAGTCTGTAACACAGTGATTATAAACAGACATTTTTACTCTTCAACGCACCAAACTCTGCAGCAGTTTAATGAGATTTAGGGGAAAACTAATCGAAAAGGGGTTCAAAATAGCCGTTTATCTGTGCTTCATTAGGGAAAACCTAAATAGGACTGATTTTCATGGCAGGGCTGAACAAAAAGAGCCTTAAAGAGTAAAAATATTTCACTTTAATGTGAAGGATCGTGTGTGGGGAAAAAGAGCTGTATGTCTCTGAGTGTGGAGCAATGTTTGGGACCCTTTTTCATCTTAAATGGAGCCGAGATATCTTCAGATGTGTGTATTTTTGTGCATTTTTCTGTGATTGACAAGCGATTCTCGGGGCCCGGGCCCCGCCCACCTGGCGCCTCCAGTAGCCTGAAAAAACAGCAGGGCTTTTTCCACCTGCTGAGCCTGAAAAAGCCCTCAGCTTGTGAGTCTGTCTGTGCGTGAACTGCGTGAGTCTACACTTGCAAATGTGCACGGGAGTGTGTAGTTACAGCATGTGCATGTGTCAGCATCAGCGCTCCATCTCCCTCTGCGCCGCCTGGAAACTGACAACTGGATAATAGCTTTTTACTTTTCCAGAGCAGGGCTCCGGAGAGAACTAATATGATTATAAATCATTATTCAAATAGAAAGGTGAGGAGGAGCAGCACTCGGGATTGTAAGAGAGCATGATAATAGCATCATTACCTTTTTTTCTTCTTCTTCTTTTTTTGCATTTGTAGATTTCTCCGTGTTCCTGGAACAGAGCAGATATATCAACGACTGATTGGGAAGATTTGCAATACAGAGGAAAAGTTGAGGAGATTGAGTCTGATTCCACGATGAAAACGGTGAGTTTTCCCGTTGTCTTTTTTAATTTTTTATGAACAAATAAAAATCCAGTGGCTCGTTATGGTGAGCAGCCCCTCCCCCGTCAGCACTGACTTAATTATGACCAAGTCAAACTCAAAGAGGCCAAACAGAAGCTGAACATTTTATATAAAATCAAGATTAAAAGGTGAAAGGTTCAAAATACGCCTTTTTATTACTTTTAAATACCAAAAGTGCCCAGAAAAAACAATAAAATTGTCTGATAAACTAATATCTTAATTGCAATAGATCATAGAAAACATTTAATGTAGATAAAGGCATAATTTGGAATAATCTTTAAAAAGTGTGTATGAAAGTATGAAAAGAGCACCTTAGAGAGGCAGAGACCATCGGAAGTAAAGGTGGGCAGAGTTTAGTAATTTGTGGAAAAACTAAAAAAACATAAACATGTATCTTCCATCATCTGAAGAACATAAGATCCTCTAAAGATTCAGATAATCTGGAAACTTATCGATGGCCTTCAGGCCCTCTGGCAGCTCTCTGAAATAAAAACACAGCTGATTTTGTTCTGAAACCACTGTTTGTATTCCAGAAATCATCGTGTGTAAATGCAGGATTTGGAGGTTTTGGTGTGTGAGATACGAACAAAAAAGGCTAAAAAGGATTTTTTCAATAGAAAGTATATTTAGAATAAGTAGATGGGGTAAAAAATTGGTGATAACAAGGGAAAGAATGGATGATAATAATGTTTCATAGCACTCCTAAATATAGATAATTAGAATTAAGGTGTAACTGAAAAGAAACAATAGAGAAGAGAAAGAGAAAAGACAAACACAAGAACATGATGATTGATGTTCCAGTAACTTCCTGATTATTGATAGAGAAACTAATTCAAACAGCTTTGATCAAAGCTTTTAGCTGTTCTGAGAGGCC